ATGTCGCACCAGTACGGATGCTATAAAACACGAACACTTGCGACAACACACAACGCACCGCACTAGGTGTTATTGTCACAGAACATAAATACACGCTAGCATACCTCAATAGTTAAAGAGTTTCAAACTCTAGCACTCGAACTGTAAATTTTAGTTTAAAATCTCAAGAAGTCTAAAATTCGTAAGGAACTAACGATATTTATACTACTACTTTGTATTTTTTTACTCGAAATGAATTGATCAGAGAGAAAAGAAAGATAACAATGACCTTGAAATTTCGTATTTCATTTCATACATAGAGAGAGAAAAAGAAAAGGAAACTAATTCAATTAGCCAGATATGATTTACCTCTTCGTATTTCTTTTAAAGACAAATATTTTAATTTCAAAACAAAAAATTTTTCGCCCTCATTCTTACTCTGTTGATTCTCTTTTATTCCTCTTCTGATGTCCTAACAAAAACCGCTAAAGTTACGCCCAAAACTACATTATCTATCAGCTAAAACCTCTTTCAAAATCTTATGCAATGGCTGCTAGTTCTTTCTAGTTGATAGTCTGAAAGCTCACGTCTTCAGATATTAGTACTAGAAAGTAGTGTTTTTGACATCGATGGGTATCATCAACCCATCTCAAATCTACCAATATTTACATCGACCATTTGATATCAGTAGCGAAATTTGCTCCTATATGCTAATTCAACTCTGACACACATAGTAGAGTGGCTGAGAATTACCATTGTTGTTCTTTAGGATATCCAATCTTCGTGTTACTAAGTTTTCCATCTCTTTGTGGGCTTCTTGAGGTTAACTGTACTAGATGATACGAAAAACATGATTTCATTTTGGCTACTTTATCATTAAAGCTTGGTAGAAACCTTTGTATACGAAACATTCTCTGGAAATAAAATAATGACACTCTGATTTCATTTGACGCGTTGAAGGTGACTATCTTAAAAGCACATTTGTCAAAACAAAATCACAATAAAAGACAGAAAAAAATATGTATAAATTTTCTCTGGCGTAAATGTTTTGATTTTGTCATCAACAGTGAAATAGGTGAAGAACATAGAAAACTCTCGGTAAAAGTAGCAGAACGTTGAATGAATTCTTCAGTTTAAATCCGAAAAGTACTGCAAGTGTTCTGATAAACATTCTTCCTTTTTGCAATGTAGAACTGATCGACAAACGTTACGATTGAAAAGACTAGATTCGAGATTGAACAGTTCAAATTTTCAAAAGAAACTTCCCTTTTCATGTTTCATTTCTTAAAAATTTAATGAGAACACTAGTACAGTTCAGTTGTAAATTCTCATTCGTCGCCATCCAAAGAATTTTTGAATATAATCAATGAATGTGACTCCATTTAAAAATTGCTTCAATTTCTTCTCACTATTACAATGACTATTTTCAGGCCCATTGCAGGTGTACACCGTTGCTTTTAATTCATCGTTAAAGTTCATGAACTCGACTTCAATTTATCTTTTTTTCTTCAAACACTTGGATTCCACTGTTTTCAAACTTTCTTTATCAAATTAATTCATATCACCACAGTACGCATTGAATGTAGACATTAGTGTATCAGCATGAAAATATATGTGTACTTCCTTTTTTCGGTTTGCTGTAAAATTAATTAAGTCGTTGAATAAAATTCATGTAATTATAATTAGCGAATTTAAAGGCCATTCAGAGTTGAAGAAAACGATTTAGCGGTAGATGACAATTATCTTCAAATGAACATTCGTAGAATACTTTAAGTTGTGCACGGCTACCGTTTGAACTCATGATAGTCTCTAAGACAATAAGACGATCATCATCGGGTAATTTTTTGAGAGAAAGGTAGAAGGCATTATAATAGATGATAACGCATTGATGAGCATAGCCTATACGAAGAAGTCTATGACAGGCTGTCACACGCAATGTAGAGGTAGAGGATGTCTGGTTTTGACACTGAGACCAAGACGATCCCCAAGCTGCTTGATTTCGCAGTTGAGCAAAAGTGTATTCATATGAACAGGAAGCACAAAACAATTTTTGAGATAACGGAGTAGTTGTAGACGTAGCTTTTGAGGTTTTTGTTAAGACATTAAAAGAGGAATAAAAGAGATTTAACATAGTAAAAGTGACATAAAACATTTTTTCTTTTTGATACTAAAGTGTTTGTGTTTAACAAAGAGTAAGCAGAGATAGATCACGTCTTTTTAATTGAAGTTCTTTTTTTTCTGTCTTTCTCTATGGAAGAAATATAATACGAAATTTCAAGATCACTATTATCTTTCCTTTCTCCTTCATCAATCCATTTCAAGTCGAGAAATAAAAAGAAAAAATTCTTATTATTTAGCTCTGAAGGACGCAAATAACGTGCCTAATGAATTATCAATAAGAGGTTCTTACTTTTGAAGTCTAGAAACGATGCACTCAATGCTTGAATCTAAGTAAACAGAAAGAATAATATAGAACTTATACCTTACAGAATAGTAATCTGTCGTCGTACTCATCCGAAAATTTAATCAAAAAAATCAAATGAAAATCGATGTTCTTTATGAATCATTGATGGAAATTGTTCAATTTAAATCGATGCATTGAGAACAAACTGAGTGGAAATTTCTATTGTCAATTAGATTTTTTAAATATGCTTTTGAATGAAAACGATGAAAGCCCATTTTTGATTTCAGGAATCTTTCATAATTGTATGCTGCATTTGAAATTATTGTTATACCCTTACACTTTCTTGATGTATGACATATGTGGAAACTGTCTGAATTTTGTCAAATGGTTCAATATCAAGCATTTATTCCCGTTGTCCAAGAAGGTGTCGTATGAAAGGTGTTTTTTCACAATGTACCAGTTGCAACAAGGTACTGCCAGGTACTACCACTCTCTTTAAAAAGTGTCATTAGTAACTGTTTATGGTTTTAGAGAATATGCTGAAGTTGTAAAGGTTTGATTCCTTTATTAATAATAACATCCTTTTGTTCCTATGTTGAATTTCATTTACAAAGATGCTTCCAGCGCTAGTCGGTTGAACGAAGGTGGTTCATTTTTTGAACGCAACCAAATTAACTTGAATTTGGAATAGCTTTACTTATCCAATCAAATAATTATAAAAGGCAACAGGCACTGACGAATCCATTAATAATAATGACTAATGGGTCACTTAATTTGGAATAAAAGGTTTAAATTTTCTCTACTGATTATTCAAGTGCGAGCCTTTCGGTTAGAAAAGATACGTTTTACGAAAATAACAGTCTTTTTTTTTATTAAACTTGACTTACAGCATAAAAATTGGATGGTTTCAGATCTACGTATTGTGAAAATTGTTTTATTCACAAAACAGGCTTTTCTTTAGCAAAAAATCCAAAATTAAATAGTATCGTCTTCTCTGCAATCATTTAATCTCTTCGCTATTAAAGTGTTTAAAATTAACAGAAAGCACTTAAAATAACTATTAACGTTTAATGGATCCATCTATCATAACTATGAACGAGTACAGTGTTGCTCTTTGTTTGGTTTTTTTGACTGTTAAGTATATTCCGATAAACTTGAGTCTGATATTCTACCTTCATTCTCATGTTTTTTCCTTTTTACAATCTTTTTTGTTTAAAAAAAAGGATTGTATTGAAGAATAAGTTATAACGGGGCTTATTTGTTCATTCTAACTGCAGAACTATAAAGAGATGAGTCTATTCTTCACGTAGTCTCTCAACAAGACTCATTTAACCTATTCTTATTTGAAAAAATTCATTTCAGATTTGATCATTTCCATGTCGCTTTATATCTTCAGCAAAACTGAATTGTTGTATTCATGTGAAATTATCTTATCAACAATGGAAACCTCAGTTTTATTATCAGGATAAAAGTATTTTTTTTCTTTTCGATGCCTGCCAACAAAGCATTAAATAGTAACTTTGTGTCTATAATGGATTTATTTTCTTTTTCTTTTAGATTCATTTCAATGAAAAAATCAACAGTAAGGCCTTTTTCAATAACAAACTTTACTTTATTCCCTTGAACACATCTCATCAAAAATTACATGATGCGTTTTATTTACATGATAGGCGTTTTTTTCCTTTTATTTTATTAGCGAAGTACTAACTGGTAAGTTCGGTTTTTATAATCGATTTATAATCTTTTTTTTTCCTTCAGAATCATATCAATGAATAAATAAGCAGTAAGTCTTTTTCAATTATGAATTTTGTTTTTCTGGTTTTAAGTTCATCTTATAAACAAATAAATGATGAGTTTAAGTTGTATAATATATGTATCTTTGTTTCTTTCAGGAGTATGTCAACTTACAATCGAATAGTAAGTTTGCTTCTCTAATATAAGCTTCCACTGTCTCTCTTTTTTGAGTTATTGTGAGATGGCATAGTAAACATATTCTAGACAAAAGAGCGGCTCATTCTTTTGCTCGACTGAAGACGTATTTGGATGACCGCAATCATAAACAAGCCCGTAGTGATAGGTTGCGAGTTTCTATCGTGTTCATTCTTGCTTAGTAAAGTCAATTACGTGATTTCATTGAGTAAAAGCCCTCTAGAAAAGTTTTGATCTTACCAAAAGGACTCAACGCTTTATGTTTAATGGGTTGTACTTTTGTATTAGTAGAATCATTCTTAAATATAGAAGAAAAATGTTCGAGACAAACTAGATTACGCTGAAATCCTAAAAAGTGCAGAATAACACCGTTTTCAGGGCAGTAGACCCTTGTAGTACGTGGTAGCAATTTTATAGAAACTGAACTATTTTATAACTGATTTTTATCAATGACTTTCTGATTCATTTGCACGAATCCGTAAAAAATTGAATATCTAGAATGCATAACAAATAAAAAGTTACATCAATTAGATTTTATTTCAAAGACACTTAACATCAGAAAATGAAACAACACGAATAAAGTATGATAATAAAAATTAGATTAGTATTAAATTAATGTTAATTCTATTTTGTATTGTTTGATCAAAGTATATTTTATTTTGTAACTGTATCGTCGTAAACATAGAGTTCATAAAGAGAAATAAAAGTCATTTTGTGAACCATTTAATGCATAGGTCACATTGGCAAGATGCTTTTCAATTTTGTTCATTTTTGATTCCAATTTTTTTATTTTTTGTATTGTTTCATCTGTATTAACATTTGTACTCTGTTCTGTAGTCATTATTTCAGGTAGACCAATCAGATTGCATGTTAAATGTTGTTGCCGATTTCTAATGTTCTGAATAATACGTATCGCTCCAAATAATTTTCTCTTAGTTTGAAAATTTCGCATAGCTGATAATGGTGTATGTTTTTTTTTCCCAAGCCATATTTTAAATGCAAATTTAATAACATTTGCTGCTTGATGTCTATGTTCTTTAACTAATTCAGTATTTAAAACAAAAGTATGTAAATAGTTTTCCCAACGATTTAGCGCTAATTCTTGTGTAACTACACCAAGAAAAAGTGCTACTGTGAGAAGACCACATAAGTTCGCTAAAGCACAAATAGCTAAAAATAACAACAAAGTTTAATTATTTCTTCTATCATTTTTGTAGAGATGACATCACTTACTTCTTCCGCAATGAGATAATGGCGCTACAGTATTATATCCGATAGTAGTGAATACTGTAGCGGCTAACCACAGGCCCTCGGTGAATGGGCTATGTTCATGATTCGATTGATACTCACAAGCACGTAAAGCCCAACTTGCACTTAAATACACAATGGTAGCCCATATCAATAAGCAACGTATTGGCCATTGTTTAAGATACGCTCTAATAACAAAAAGAAAATTAATTGACACTGTGTTAAGATAACCTATTGATCCAGATCCTGCGTCATGAACCAAACGAGAATGATATAGAAGAGGACGACATATTAAATAAAGACGAGCAAACACTAGATTTAGAAATAATTTTAATTTTTCAGTACAAAAAAAGATTTTATGCTCACTTGGCAAACCAAGTCCAACGTCAATATCTATATGAGCATCAAGATAAGGAACTATTTCAGTTGAAGTTGAA